AGGGGATACAGTCCCTCCTAAGAATTTGAGCTCCTACACAGACAAAGGGTGCTTGGCTACTGTCCCCACATGATTTGGCAAGCCACCATATCTTTCCAGTTAGTTGTAGTTTTTTTCCAAAGGTTGAAATTCGGAACCTCCACCCTTCGCGCGGAAGGGATTTGAGCGTGGTTCGTTGTCGCTTCATGTGGCTCATGCCTATCTTTATTGCTCCTTTCTCACTACGAACCACTCAACATGCCTGCGTATCTCCTGTTCTCCAATGGTAGGCGGCGGTTACTTTGGGTGGGTATCCCTGACTCACCATGGGTAGAGGTGGCTGACGATTAGGAATTACATTATTTATTGGTGTCGTTCATAGTCCTCGTAATTCCCCCATGTTCATCTTTCCGTTTCCTCCCTACCATGGTTAACCATGGCTGATTGACCATGCCTGACCATGGTTAACCATGGTTAACCATGGTTAACCATGGTGGTTGACCATGGCTGACCATGGTTAACCATGGTTAACCATGGTGGTTGACCATGGCTGGCCATGGTTAACCATGGTTAACCATGGTGGCTGACCATGGATGACCATGGCTAGCCATGGTTAACCACGATGGTTGACCATGGCAGTATCGTGGTCGACCATGGTCAGCCATGGACCACCATTGGTTAACCATGATCAGCCATGGCTAACCATGGCCATTGTGCATGGTCACCCATGGCTGATCATAGATCATGGACAACCATGGGTTTCCATCAACCACGACTGACCATGGCTCTCCATGGTCAGCCATGGTTAACCATGGTGAAAGTGACCATGGGTAACCATGGTTAGCCATGGTGGTTAACCATGGTTAACCATGGTGGTTAACCATGGCTAACCATGGTCATGACCATGGTTAACCATGGTTAACCATGGTGAAAATGCCGATGATGTACATGACTGCCTCCTTCTAGGCTCTCTCTACCGCTGTTCAAGCGCGCATCTTCGAACTCGGTACTGATCGAGAGGCTGCTACAGTACCATCAGGTCGGTAGCTTTTGGTAATCATTCTGGAAAGCGTGTCTTCCTTCCTATACACACAACCATGGACTTGTGGCCACGAATTGCCACAAGCACATGCCTAGAGAGACCCACTCAAGTCACGGGATCCACCCCAAATCAGAGCTTCTCTTTTACAAATTAACACCAGTTTATTCTATCTGCTCGACGAACAAACCTTCCTTTTATTTTGTTTTCTTTCGAATTGCTTCATTATTTCTTCGGTTTCTAGGCTACGTGTTGGGGAGAGAGACGCACGAAACGCCCATCGTCTCTCCGGCCGCGTTAGCTGCGAAGGCCGGTGCCAACTCTTACAAATCCATCTCTCTCCCCACAAATACTAGCCGGTGGACTACGACTGCAAACGCAGGAGTCCCAAAACTGACCAAGTCCTCAAATGGTACACACCATTCTACAACACCCACATCGAGGTCAGTTTCTGGGCGACTACCGAATAAATCAACTACGCGTTCCGCATACGGTCCCCTCCCCCGGCTGTCTCGATACTATCCTGCTGCCGTCTGTAAGTTTCCGTGACACTCGCCGCGAATCCCCTACATTGTTTCGCGCGTACGGCTTGTAGGCATCCGACCTCCACTTCCCTTCTCTCTGAATCACTCGTTCTGCGATGTCTCCGCCCGATGCAAGAGCCGTCGCGCCTCCAATTCGCAACGAGTGCAACGCGTACTCCTGGGGGTTACGCCCCGACTTCGCTACCACTTCTCTGGCTGCACGGAGGGCTGCACTATACCTCACTACTCTCACTGCTCTTCCACTACGGTACGAAGCCAACGGTGCGGAGTCAGGCAACGTCGCATGACACGACAATAGCTCCACCACATGAGCCACCGCGCCGCCGCGTGCTCTCACACCTGATTGCGTTCCGGTGGCTTCGTCTCGCGTACGAACCCTTATGTTGCCTTTCTGCTCTTGATCGGCCTTGTGCCCTCTAAACCTCATTTCGACACGGTCTGCCCTACGATAGACTAAAGTCTAGTTGCGTCTCGCCGGCAAACAATGCTACGTCCGCCCTCGTAAGACAGTGTGCCTCATGCACCCTGCCCACGTCATTCGCGAACACCTCATCAGACCGTGTGATTGATAGATATACTTGTAGCAATGCCAAGTGGTTGTAGGATTGTGTGGTACGTGGAATGTATTTCCAGGGTGTGCAAGGTACCCCTGTTGTATACTGCGTCGCCCCCGTACTGATGGTGCGTGCGCGTGTGCGTGCAGTTCGTTCATGTGTTCATGTGAGTCCATGTTTTTCATGTGAAGAAGAAGTCTATACAACAAGCCCAGCACATCTTTCCTCCTTGGCGCGAGTTCGCCGAGTTGCCGACACCCTATTCAACACACGTCTTGCGACAAGCTACCCCCAGTTCGGATCATCCTAACACGCTAGCGTGTGATATCACACGGGATCCCGAGGTGAGGTTAGCTATAAAAGGGTTCGGCTAGAGAAGTAGATCATGGAAGCCCTCGACCTCAGCAGCTTAACTGAAGAGGACCGCCAAGCATTATCGGCGCACATCAAAGAGGAAGTGGAGAGAGGAGTACAAGAAAAAATCAAGTTTACCGAAGAGAAGCGTCCTGCATCAGAGAGCGTGGACAAGCCCCCCGATGGAGGCGATCCCCGGCATGCTCGGCCGGCTGGAACAGCGTTAGACCCGCAACCTGAAGACCAGCCACGATCGTTGGAGGACCGTCTCGTTGAGTCCTTCGCGCGGGCAATGCGGAGGACCAACACTCCGGGGGAGGAAACCAGGGAAGTCTTACCCCCTAAGGACACCATTCGTGTCAGTCCTGTAATACATGTAGCCCCATTTACGGGTGTGTTCGATTCGAGTGTCGATGTCCAGGTTAGAGTGCAGGTTTTTGAGAGCCAATTTCGGATGTTGCTGCAACAAGAAGATTGCCTGAGCGCGATACAATCAGAAGAGACGATCAAGGTGGGGAAACCAGATGCAGACATTCCCAATCTGAAGGAGGAGTATGGTAGGAGGGCCGTAGAGAAGGCTATGAAGGCATGGCAGCTAATACTGGCGAAGATTCAGGTTGCATCGATCGTTCCAGCCATTATCTCTAGTGGTTGCCCCACGGAATCATGGAGGATATTCCGAAACTACTTTGAAGTGCACGCCCACACAGAAAAGACTAGCCTCCAACTAGAGTGGCAACAATTGATCCCAAAGAGTACCTGTCGAGAGGGTGGGTGCTAAGGCAAAGATTGTCGTCATGCGGCGTGATGATAACTGAAGATGATGCCAACAGACACCTCGTGCGCAACCTCCTCCCGGATTATGATGTATACACAGGTTTTCTCATGTCCGAGCATGGTCTGGAGAGGGAGAGGGTAGAAAGAATCATAGTGAATGCTTGGGCGGAGATGGAGGCGAGAAGGAAGAAGAAGCAGGAGAGCGTGGGGGCTTACGCCCTCGTCACTGGCGGTGAGAACCGTAGTGGCGGGGGAGGGAACACGGGGGGACCAGGGCAGTCGAGAGGACAACGGAGGACGGGAGCGCGACAACAGCAGCAACAACCGCAGCAGCCACATCAGCAGAATCAGCAATACTTCTATCGACAGCAACAGATGTACCCGCCGCCGCACCCGCCCGAGATAAGATATTGTGACCTCCACAACACCCCGTCCCACAGCAACGATGAGTGTCGCTGGCAGCGAGGTTGGGGAGGTCCCTCGGGCAGCCAAGATGCGAGATACGGCGGAAGGTACGGGCCCCAGCATGGGGGCCGGGGCTTTTCTGGAGGAGGACGTCATCAGCAGCAGCTGGCAAGAGGAAGACACGGTGGACGTGGCCAGGGAGCACCAGGCAGCAATCTTCCCGCCTACCCCGTGCCTCAGCAGGGGTACGACTACAGCGCTTACCCTCCGAACATCTACCGCCCCCAAGGAAACGAGCCACCTATCCACGCAGCAGATCCGAGGAAGCGGTGCGAAAACTGCGGTGAGATGGGCCACAACCACATCTTCTGCCCTTCACGGGTGGATGTAGGCAGACCAGCCGGCCAGCCCGCAGCGCCCGCACCGCCCCGACCCCCGGCCGCGGGATACAACACCCAGCGGCCCCCATGGGCGCACTCCTACGGGCAGGCTAACGCCGCACGGCGGGGGGCCGCACGAGACAGGAGCGGCAGCAGGCGCGTCAGCAGGAGCGGCGGCAGAAGCACAACAGCATCCGGTGACGCACGCGAGCGGCGTTTACCAGTACCCGCCCCAACAGCAGCAGCCGGAGTACCTTCCCCCCCCCGTGCAACAGCAGCAGCAGTCCATCCCCAGCCCGTACGCTCCTCCGGCGCCTTCGACCGGAACGTCTCCATCGGCTGGTGGGGATTTGCATGCGTGTGTGGTGTGGGCTTTTCCACGTGAGTCAGAGAATGGTGTGCTGGTAGAGCGTAGGGTCGAAGGGTATGCCATGATGAACATGATAGATGAGAGTGTAGGAGACGAAACTTGGCTTGCAGACTCTGGCGCAACGAACCACACCACAGGAGACCCTAGGTGCATGTACGATGTGGTGATTCCTCCCCCTGGTAGCGAGCAAGTGGTGATTGGAGATGGAAGGATTATGTCTGTACTTGGTATCGGGAGCCCTGAACGTAAAGTT